TATATATATATATATATATATATATATATATATATGTATATGTACATAAAAGGTAATATAATTATCGCGTCATATTTGAAAGTTTAATTATGGACAAAGGAGAGTGCGTGCCGACCTTTACCGGTTCACGTTATTTTCTATTTCACGCGCTTGGAAAACGAGGACGTAGTGAAAGGTATTAAAAAGCGTGGGTGGAAAAGCAACGATCGTTGAAAGTACTTCTTTTCATCCAGTACAATTCTGTCATTCTGTTTTACGAGTTTCGAGGAAATCGAGAAAAAAGAGAGAGAGAGAGAAAGAGAGAGAGAGAGAGAGAAATGGAGAAAAAAATAAAAGAGAAAATTTTTCTACCAAACGTACACGCTTTTACGTGGAATATCGAATTTAAAATCGATGTACCACCACCACCACAACCCCTTTCTCTATGTACGTATCACACTTTCGAAGAATCGTTCGAACTCCTCTCGTTCACGTTGAAAACCTTTTATTTGTTTTATCTTCTTTTTTCGTTTTTTTTTCTCTTTTTTTTTTTTTTTTTCTTCTTTTTATTTCGCTCACCGTAACGTAAACTTAATCTTCTTTTATGCTTTTAAACAATATTATATTCATATACACGTACGTATGTATGTATGTATGTGTGTGTATATATATTTTATTTAATATATTTCCTTTTAACTTGATTTTTTTTGTATTTTTCCACGTTAATCAAATTTTTGATCCTCTTATAAAGTTGTGTGTAATGAAATTTAAATTGTCACCTGTACGCTACGATAAGAGATAAATCTTTTCTCGAAAATGAACTAATTCATTTGTGTGCCTCTTCACATTTCGTTTTTTTTTAAATATTATTTTATTTTATTTTTTATTTCACATTCATATTTATGTTTTCTCGTTTTTTTTTTTTTCTAATTAAATGTTGATCTCCTAAAATTGTATAGCGGTTATATAAGTTATCAAAACACACACACACATTCACGTTAAGAAAAATGTATCTACAGAAACGGAACTATTTTCTTTCTATTTTTTTTTCCCCCGCTTTCTTTTTTATTTATTTGTGTTTTTTTTCTTTTTTTTTTTTTTTCGTCCCGTAAAATTGGTCGTTTCCACGAGAGTCTCGACGGTTTTTCATTAAACTTCTTGATTACTATATGCATTTCTAATGGAAACAAAATTCCAGGAAAGTCGTACGTGAATTTATCCTGATGTTGAGAGATTCTCGTTCCTTCTCTCTCTCTCTCTCTCTCTCTCTCTCTCTCTCTCTCTCTCTCTTTTCTTCTCTCACATTTTCCCCTATTTTTTTTCTATTTTTTTTTTTTTTTTAGTTTTTTTAATTTTTTTTTTTTATATTTTTATATACCATTAGTAACACAAGTGCACACGTTGTGAAGAGATTTGTTACATTCAGAATATTCCATTTAATGTTCTTGACAAAAAATAGCAGTATAAAAAAAAAAAAGAAAACGAACGAACGAAAAAAAAAAAACAGAGAAAGAGAAAGAGAGAGAGAGAGAGAGAGAGAAAGAACATAAATAATAAAGCAATGCAACGCAGACGTTCCACGGAAGTTGGAATTGTTTGATACTGTAATAAATATCCTGGCAACGCGTTGTGTTCGAATAAACGAAAATTTTGTTTGTTTTATTCTTCCCTTTCTCTCTCTCTCACACACACTCTACTTTATTTTATTTTTATTTTGTTCATACCTGGCGAGAAGTAAAAAAAAAAGAAAATAAAATGTTCGGATAAAAATGACTTATCCGATCGTTTATAATATAAATTTTGACAAAAACTTTTCCCGTTAGTTTCTTAATCGATTGTAAGATCAATTAAAGATTCAATTAAAATGATTATTAATCTGAACCTACGATAATTCGTAAATGAATCGAATGATCATCAATAAGCGAAAGAAAACCCCCAAAATCGGATAAGATAAAAGTAGAACTTAAATTAGTTTGTTCCGATGTCTTAAATTTTTTTTTTTTTTATTTTCGGAGATAAATGAATCTCCTCCCCTGATCCCCCCATCCCACCCATCATTTTGCATATACTTTCTTACATTAGTCCGACATTACGATACGCTCGGATGCGTTTTTTAGCTCGATGGAGTTCGAAGAAAAGGTCCACCGGTTTCTTCTTCTACTTCTTCTTCTTCTTCTTCTTCTTCTCTCTCATTCTCATTTCTCATTATTTCCGTAGCATCATAGTTCGGTAAATTCCCACGAATGCGCATTTCATACTAAATTAATGGCATTGCGGGGTAGTTCTATAACAAAAGGCTACTACTATCCCGTACTCGTCTTCTACCAACGAGTCTGATAATCGTAATAAAAAGTAGATGCAAAAAAAAAAGAAAAAAGAAAAAGAACAAAATCAAGATTGAAATTTACTATTTACGAGAAAAAAAGATATTAAAATTCAGTATATCGTAATAATAAATAAATAAATAAATTTCAAACAATGTAACATTTAATTTACATATTATATACACATTGAAACATTAATTTATTATTATTATTATTATTATTATTGTTCACGTATGAATCGTGTATTATCGTAATCAGAATTAATTTATATATAGTACGTTAATGGATCATCGTGTATGTGTTCAATTCGAAGTGGTTGAATCCATTAATATTCGGGAGAAGGAATCGGGATAAAAGTTTCCATGTATTTTATAGATAAATGATTTTAAGATCTCGTAATTCTGACAATGATATTAATCGGATCTGACAATATTTGCGTAAGTTTTGAAAAATTGACGTCATATTATGTAAAAAATGGAGAGGAAGATCTAACTATCGAGCACAGAACATTATTAAGCTATACGTAATTTAAGTATGAATACAGAATAGATGATAATAATTTGTTAAACTTTCACGAATGAATTCTTGAAGTGCTGCTATGAACGCATTTATGCGTTTGGTAAAAGTTCCCACCAGCATGAATTATTACATGTTTCTCAATATAAAATGCAAATAATGTAATATTGTTTTGCCTATTGATTATTATAAAAGTATTTATGTAAGAAAGAAAAAACTTGAATTATTAAATATAATTCATTATTAGAATCTGTGTGATTAATAATATCAATCAACAGAAAAAAAAAAACAATCATTCGAAATAATAATAATAATATAATATTTCGTACGTAGAAAACATTTCAACTGAAAGTAATCACCACTCAAAGGGTTAATTAAAATACTAATTAAAATTATTTCTACGATTCAATAAATATATATATATATCTAACGGATGAGTATGAAAAGAGTCGACTGTGATGAATAATGGCAGAAAAAAAAGATAAAACTAAGTATTACTATTGTGAAAATTGTGACGAAGAATGGTTTTTAATGGATTTAACAACAACAATGGCTATACTTTAGAAAGGAATTTCGCTAGTTGGCGGATCCGATATAAGGGATCGGCTTTAATGAAACTGTGAGATTAACGTTTTAGAGAAGAGGCGTTAGAGGATCGAAAGAGAAAGACAAAACCAAAGAACAAAAGAGAATGAGAGAGAGAGAGAGAGAGAATGAGATGCTGTTCATCTCGGATAGCCTGCAGAGTCTGCGTTTCCGTCGTCGTTAGAATGCAAGAAGACTTGAACACAACAACCAAGCCTGAACCGTGTTGCGTTATTATCCTAACAGTATACCGTTTAAACGAACTTATCCATTATGAGGAGTTCTGCACATAGTTTCGCAAATAGTTGCTACTAGCCGGTGTCGGCTTTGACTTCGTAGTCCTCGTCCTCATCCTCATTCTCGTCATCATAGTCAAGCAGCAACAGTAAGGTGATTACCGAACGATAGCCAAACTATAGAATAGTTCTGGCATAAACGCTAGAGAGAATACAAAATTATTTCTATTTTTAATCGGTTTAAACAACTATTCGCTAACTAAACACCTTTTTTCTCTATTTTTTTTTTTTTTTACAATCTTATCTTATTTTATTTTATTTTATTTTCATATTTTTATTAATCCTATCGTAAGTTTATTGGTTGACGAATAATTGAAATAGTACATTATTGAAACTAATCTTTTTCTTACAACGTTGTTCTTTCTTTTTTATTTTTTCTTTTGCTTTTCTATATTCGTTTAAAGATCGAATATTTTTATTAATTAAATCTACATTTTTTTTATACGAATTAATCATGTTTTGTAATGATCTAAATATACTTATTATCATGATCATTATCATTATTATTATTATTTGCGTTCAATAGTTATTTTCTTCTTACGATTTTTTTTGTCTTCTCCTTTTTTTTTTTTTTTTTTTTTTTTTTTAATATCAAACAAATTGAATCCGGTCAACGGTTCGTTAAACATTCGTAGAAAATAAAATCGGGCCTCCCCGTTGAAAGCAAACTTACGAGACCACAGAGAATCGACGATCTATTCTATGGTGCAAAAATCAAAGGTGCTCCCTTGGCGAGTAGAACACGGCAGACAGTGAACACAGGAAAGGCAAATAACGCGAAGTTATTCGTACTCGTTGCCAATGGAAATACTCTCGGTGACCTAAAAAAAAAAAAAAAGGAGAAAAAAATAGGGCGAAAAAAATCGTGCAAGGGAAAGGAAGACAGAAAGACAGATAGAGAGAGAGAGAGAGAGAGAAGAAATAAAAAATAAAAAAAGAAAAAAGAAAAGAAAGAAAGAAAGCAAGCAAAGATAGAAAGAGATAGTAAGATAAATCCTTGATATCTCTCATACGATTCGAGATATCGATGGTAGATTATCGTAGAAAATGTAGAAAAGGTTGTAGAATTGAGATCAAAAAAAAGAAAAAAAAAAAAAGGTAGCAACCAACGGGATTGGCGGATAGATGGAAGAATCAATCGTTTGACTATATTAAAATAGAGACATTTCCTGTCGGTTCAAAAAGTGACAGAAGATTCATACATATATATATATGTATATATGTATATGTATATATATACCTAGATCGATTCTTCTTCCATCCTTTTATATTTTCTCATTGATCTTCAATGTCAATCTACGTTTTAACATGAAGCAGAAAGATAGAGAAAAAAGCTTTCTACTTCTTTATACTAGTAGCGTTAGGACAAAATCAAATTCAACGGAATGCTGAAAATCGTGGATTCAACTAAATTCATTCTAACCTTGCAATCCTCACCGCCGTTCCTAGTTGAAAACATTTTCGTTTTGGCTTTGGTTATCCTATTGGCAGTACCACTGATCGTGAATCTTCAATTTTGTCTCGTACGTATCTACAATTCTATGTTTTATGTTCTTTGGGGGTTACACATTTTTTTTATTTTCTTTTTTTTACGTCGTAGTTGTCATCTTTTACGTTGCGTGCTTTTCTGACAGGGTGGTCGAAATTGCGATTGGAAATTTTTCTTTTCCTTTTCATTTTTTTCTTTTTTTAATATTTCAAATCCACGTATATTAAATTATATATATAAATGTATCTCGAAAAAATAAATTCATCATTTTGTTTTATTTAATATATAAATTTATATATATTAAAAATATATCGTAATATTTTTGAAAATTAGTGACTTGTACTTTTATAAGTATTTAACAAAAAAGAATTATAAATATATTTAATATCTCTCATATAAATTTCATAATACAAAGTAGCACCAATACTTTCCACAAATAAAATAACATACACTTAATCACTAAAAAATAAAAATTCCAATTAAATAATTTTACCAATACGAATGTCAACCGACTACCCTGTGTACCGAACAACAACACATAATATATACTTTAATCAAAAATTATTCGAAAGAAAGAAATATTTCACGTTTTGAAAAAAAAAAAACAATAATCGCATTTAACAAAGAATATATAATATAAAAAATCACCTAGAATGAGAAAAGAGCGAATATAATGGTAGACAGTGTAAGTAGAAAGGGGGGGAGGGGGAGTAGAAAAAGGGAGAGAAAGAAATATAAAGATAGTTTGATCAATAAACATGTCCGCGGGCTGTAATAATGCTTTTTCATCGATAATCCCATTTTTGTTTGATCTAACTCCGCAAATTCGAAATATCCTCTGCCCTTTTTATGTTCTCGGATTGATTTAGGATAAATCAAGGAGAAAAAAAGGAACAACATCTACAACCATCACCACCACCACCGTCACCAATGATACCAACGAGAAATGGAATAAGATAATACGTAGAAGGATAGGAATAGTAGAATCGAATACAGTCGAATCGAATATACATGAAAATGATGATCATCGTGAAACTGGACGTAGTATTCGAAGTTCGGAGGAACGTATACGCCGAGCTGTGGTGATGCATTATCCTGCACCTATACCAATCGATTCAAGTTCGAGCTCGGATTACGATCTTCGATTTAGCAGTTCAAATCGTAGAACAGTATCCACGCCAAATCTTTGTTCAAACAGTGCAGGAGATGGACTTGGCCACTATGAAAATTACTATGATCATCATAATAATAATCATCATGATATGTCTTCATGTAATCCTGAATTATTAAACGATATCAATATGAAAATAAAATTAGAAAAGGAAGTACCCGTAGAAAGATCATCATCATTCGTTGTAACCAATTCGGAAGTTCCCATAATCGATATATCGACGTTCAATTACAACGCATATAGGCACAAATTAATAGAAGCTAATTTGAAAAAACATTATAAGAATAATCAACCACCCGGTGACGTTATATTCAATTCTATACATTTAAATACGATAGATTCGACACTCGGAATAAAATTGAACGAACAATACCATCACAGTTTCTTTGATTTCGTCGAAGAGTATTATGACGCGACAATTGGTATGAGCAAAAAAGAAATGGAGTTTCTTCACCCGTTGGATCATTTTCTCGTTAAGGGTATACGCCAAAAGGAAACCGATGAGAAAGGTACGGAAACGTTGAATCTTTCTAACAATGAGAAAACTACGAGGATAGATCGAGTTAAGGATATCGATGAGAAGATATCGATTAATCGGCGGGTCTTAGATAAGAATGGAAATATTTCACGAACGTCTAAGGTCAAGAATTTGTCGAGTAGTTTATCAAAGAGAAGAAAAGAAGAAGATTCGAGTGGTATGAGCAAAGGAGGGAAAGAAGAAGAAGAAGAAGAAAACGAGTCACCATCACCACCACCACCACCATCACCACCACCACTACTATCACCACCACCGGGATCGATCGAATCGAGAAAGGACTCGAAGAATAAGAAGAAGGATAGAAAAGGGGAAAGACTAGTTGGAAGAAGCAGTCTCCTTGATTCAAACTCGATTCCTACTAAAATAGGGATAAATTCGAACGTCGATCAAGTACAAACAAGAAAGTACCTTTTAACTAAGTCTGTTAACGGTAACGATACACTAAACTCACCGAGTAAGAGTAAATTGCTATCGTCTATCGTCAAAGCCGATAAGGACTCTATTAACCTAAGTTCCATCAGTTCGAGCGAGTTTGGAAGTACTCGTGACGTTATTTCGAATCACTCGCGTGATTTCTCAATTCCGTCAGGTTCCAGAGGTCGTACGCCAACCCGAAAACTTTTACCATGGATCACTGGTAATACATCGTTCTCGTTCAATAGAAAATATGGAAACAAGAATACAGATATTTCGGATAAATTGAAAAAAGGAACTATACACTCAAGTGAACGTTCTTCCAATTTCGGTTCAAGGCCAACCACACCGAGGCCAAGATCAGCGAATTTGACTTTAACGTCTAAAAGAAAAACGAAGGATAATCTTAACGTCGTTGAACCTAAAGAAAGTTTAAAAGCTTTCGAGGATTACACCGTTAACGGAAAAGGTTCGATCCCGGCAGAGATTTGTTCGGATTTTATCGAATCTTCTTTCACTTTGGGAACCCCAATAACACCAGCCTCGACCTTGCCTTCCAGCAATTCTTCAAGACTAGTTCCTAAGTTACTAGGTGGTTCCTTTGAAAACGATGACTCTAAGAGATCCATGTTCGAAAACGTATCTGCCAAAAGTTACCCCAAGTTTCATGAGAAGAATAATAAACGTGATCGAAGGAATCAAGAATCAAGAAGGCAAATAATACCAGACAAACTAGAAAATACTAATCCTAGTAACCATCTTAATAATAAAGGAATTGCCAAGGTCAATTTGAATAGCAATAGGAGAAAATCCAATTATTCGATTAAATCTTGCGAGACGACTATCGATAAAAATTTAACGATGTCGAATATTTTGGGGAAACAAATAGCGGAGATTAATCAAATCGAATCTAAGAACGAATCTGTATCACGTAGTCGGAAATATAATAATAATAAAAATAATAATAATCAGGATAAAGGTAGAAGCGATGTTATTTTGAAAAAAGAATCTAAGAAATTTGGCGAATTAAGCAATTCACCGGATAAAAATGTTGAATTCTCGCAAGGATATAAATCATATCGTTTCTCGAGTACCAAGACGGAGGATACTTCACGATCGGTTATTCTTCAATCGAGGGACACTTTAGTGTTGGCTACGAACGATTCGCGAATCGAGAAACATCATTCGAATGAAAAGAAATTAGATAAATTATCGGAACTTCGATCTAATCGTGCTGACTCGAGTATTGGTTTTGCCGTGCAAACTGGTTTAAAGAATTACATTAAAACGTTGAAAGAACTTTTGAAAAATGAAGGAAACCTAGATTCCGTTGATTTGGCTTCTTTGAGTTTGAAAGATGCTATCTCGCCGGAACTCGAATCGATACTTTCCGTTTCGGAATTGAAAGAATTGCAGGATTTGTTAAACGTTGCCGAAATCAAATCAAATATAACTAACAAAAGTGTCGCTTAAATATAGATCATTATATTTTGTTTTACAAATAAAAGAGAGAAATATATTGTTCAGATATATAATATATTAAAACATAGGTCCACTTTTGAGAGAAAAAAAAATATATATACACATATGTTTGTTAGAAATATTTACAAATTTATTATCGGATTTTGTTTTTTCTTTTGTATTAAACATCAATCGTACTTATTTAATTTAAAATTTCAGACGCGATTCAAAAATTTACGTTGTATTATAATTAATAAATAATTATTTCCAACCTTTCTACACGCGAGAAGTTGTTTTTATTTTTCTTTCTTTGTTTTATTTTTTGATAAACGAAGATTTACGAGATACGCAAAATAGGAGAAGGTTAACCAGTTTCTAGAAGAAAAAAATTCTCGAAAGAATTTTTATCAGACACTTTCTCTCTTTCTTCATCTTCTTCATCTTCTTCTTCATCTCATAGATGTTGATTCGACGGTCAATGATTTTCGCGATCGTTATGATCATTGATTTACGATCTAGGACGTGAGTTCGGACTCTGCCTCGTTTCTTCGGTGATTTATGTGAATATAACTGCACGAGGAAGAGAAAGAAGATAAAGAAGAGAAAATAGAAGATAGAAATAGGAATAGTAAGTGAAAGAAAGAGAGATAGAGACAGAGAGAGTGAGTGAGACAGAGATAGAGAAGAGCTCAGTTAACAGTGCACTATTAATAATGCATAAAAGGAAACGAGGGCAACTACGACAACGACAACGACGACAACGACGACGACGACGAAGTCAAGGAGATGAACGAGGTAGCACTGTGAAAGACAGAGATAATAAATATGAAGGATATAAAGAGAGAGAGAGAGAGAGAGAGAGAGAAAGGTAGAATTCGAAATTGCTGTCATAAATAATAAATATTAATTTTTATTCTTATTTTTTTCTGTTTTTAATAAACAAAATAATCCATTCGGTATAGTTATAAGTTATTCTAGAAGTTTGATTTAAACTTCTGTATTTCAATAATAATTATATGGTTTTTCTTTTTTTATCGAAAATAAAGTTTGTTTTTCTTTTGATATTTTATATCGTTTCTTTTATTTTAAAATTTGATTAATATTTTATATATTTAAATATGTAATTTTGTATTAATTGAAATAGATTTGAATATTAGATATTTATACAAACGATTCTAATATTATTTATTTAGTTAATCCAATAAATGAATATTCATATATATATATAAATCGGATATTTAATAAATATTAATTACTTTTATTCGTGTGAATTAAAATTGAACATATTTCTACGAAATGTTGTTCTATAATTATCCAAATTTATTATTATTTCATTGATATTAATATTCATTTGATAATATATCGTTATAATGTTACGGACGAATGTTTAGAAAAAAAAAAACGGAGGAAAAAGAAAAATAAAAAAAACAAAAGAAAAAACAAATTCACTAAACACACTCGGCCGCTCTTGACTTCTTTGTATCGTGTTACAACCTCGTGAGAGGACTTCCCAGGAATGACGACAGCCACTTAGGGTGTATAAAGTGCCACGAACTTCCACTCTTGTCGTTTTCTCACATAACGTAGACACTCTTGTTTATGGTTTATATGATCGTTCCATTAACACCCGACTTGCTACATTTTTCTTTTTTTTTTTTTTTTTTTTTT